GCCAATAATTAGTGTCTTGCCCCACCTCCCATCAAAACCTGCCCTGGCTCCCTGTCACACCTCAACAAAATGAGTCCCTGCAGTGGACTATGAGGTCCCACATGCTTTATTCCTGCCGCCAACTGTGCTCATTTTACCATTTCTAACCCTCTCCGTTGGCTCCTGGCCGAATCGGCTGCCTTGCAGTTAAAACTCGCCCACACACTCCCACCTTGGGGGCGCCTGCCTGCAAGACTCCTTGGCCTGGGATGCCCTCTAGCAGCTGTTCTCGGCATCTCTGCGCCAGTGGAAACTCCCTGGTGGTGCCTGTCAGCAACACCTGCCACCCTCTCTGCCCTCACCTAGCCCCTCTCACTGACACCTGCTGTGCTGTTGGCTTGAAGGGGAACCCTGAAAAGGCAGAGGCCCCTGCTGTGCTGCCTGCTGGCTGCTGAGCACCCAAGGCCCCTGCTGCACTCGGGCGGGAGAGTTGGGGGGAGCATCTCTTTGTTGAATATTTAATTTCCTAACCCTGCTTGCTGCACCTGAGCCCCAGAGAGAAAGCAAAATAAAAATGAAACACATATGCCAGACCCTCTAATAAATCTTTGGGGGTTCATTTAATAAAACAAGCTACACAAAATGTCAAAATACAACACGATCCAGGCATGAGGGTGCTCTGTGTCCCAGGCCTCACAGACCAGGGAACTCCTCTACCGGTCTTGCCATCTCCACTATCATGTGGTATCATCTCTTTTCGGCTCCCTGTTAAGGCTGATTATTTGGAAGAAAAAGCCCTGAATGTGAACGAAGACCCTGTTAGGTGCCAAGCAAGCACCCAATTGGAGAAAGAGAAGGAAGGGACCCCCAAGCAGCAGCTCCTGTTCTGAACAGCTCTGGTCTCTCTCTCCATCAGAGCAAGGGCCTAGAGTTTCCAGGAAACCCAGGGTGGCCTCTGAAGAGAGGCAGGCAAGGGGAGAGGCAGAAAATTCCCTGCGAAGAATTCTGACTCTCCCAGTCCCCTCACTAGCATTTCTACCTGGGGGTTACATTCAACTGGGAGCTGGGGGTGAGGGGTGGCAAGTTAGCCCAAAGATTTTAGCAAAGGCCAGACTGGTTACTTTGGATCATGTGGGTAGTTTGGCAGGATGACCACAAGAGGTCTGAGGCCAGATGAGAAGTGAACACTCTTCCAGGGAGGGGCCTGAGCAAAGAACAGGAGCATCTCCCAGGGTGGGGCTCGAAGCTGCTAGAAGGTACTGGGGAAAGAAGGGAGAGGGGTCACCACTGGTGGTCAAAAGTCTGTGGAGCAGAAGAGGGCAGTCTGCATCTCCAGGAGCAGGAAACGTCCCATTCTGAAAGCACTGAAGTCCTAGAGTGGGGCCTTATGGACCCCTGACCCTCCCACCCCCTTTCAGAGCAGAATTTAGCAGGGGCAAGGTGAGAATATAAGGAAGGGGTCACTGGTTGGGTCATGACAGAAACTGATAGGAAAAAGAGGGTAAAGCAGTGGGTTTGGACTGTCCCCTATAGTAGTCACCGAGACACTGAAAGACTCAGTTTCTTATCTTGTTACATATTAATTAACTCAACTTTTTTTTAAGGATTTATTTATTAATGCACACAAGAACTGGGGTACAGGCCAGAGGTACGGGGGTGAGAGGACTCATCAGAGACAGAGTCAGTAGAACAGGCAGATCTACTAAAATACACTACTGAGGGGAGCAGCGGGGAGACAGGAGAGGTCTGCTGTGCCATATAGGTCACCTCCCTGGCTGGGGATTGAACTTGTGCGGCAGTGGCTTTGAACAACTTCACGGTGCTATGAAGGGCCCCTAATGAACTCAACTTTTAAGTAAATAGCTCCAAGGGGCCTGTGACTACCAGACTGGTCAGTGAAGATCTTGAATAACTGCTGGTAACAGAAAAACTGATGCATAAATGTCAGACCCTTCACCTACCTGGACTCCAGAATGTGAATATAGAGAAGCAAAAATCATCAAAGACCCGTCTTCCTTTGATTTGCAAAGTACTGGAGCTCTCTCATGTGAGCATGAGCATGGGCCCTCCACCCCCCGCCCCCCACCCCGTCTGCTCAAGAGAAGTATGGGAAGTAGAGGGGTGTGCCGGGGGCAGGCCATACCTTCCCCAGCCTCTCACACAGCTGGGCAGAGAGCTGGAACTCCTTGGCGTAGCTCAGACACTTCAGGGACAACTGTGGCTCTCTGCACTCTAAGTAGGTCTTAGCCAGTTCCAAATACTCCATCTGCTTTTCCCTGCGAGGAGGAAAACAAAACAGTGTCCAGGGAGAGCCGACTTAATCCACCCCGTGAAGCCCACTGCTCTCACCACCGCAAACCTGCACTGAGACGCTCACCTGAGGCTGACTTTCTTGGACTTCATGTTCAGGGCAGTGTTGTGGGCCAGTGCCAGTTTCTCCTTCTCATAGGCACCTCCTTTCTGGTAACATTTAGCTGCAACCTGAAATAGGCAGAAGGTTCTGACTGCCAGCAAGGCCCGAGAGGGGCATACAGAACAAGAGTTAACGCGCACAGTCCAGGTTCGCACAGATGGAGCGTGTGCGACCCCCAGGACCTCGGAGGGAGGAGCTGGAAGGCCGGTTCAGCCACCAAGGCCTCAGGTGACAAAGCCTGAGTGTCACAGGCTAACACTTGACGCAGGCTTCTTTTGGAAGTACCCAGAAGCCACGGGAGAGGTACGTAATACGTATTTACAGGCTACCGCACAAACACCCCTTCTATTTGCTTTTTGTTTTTGCATAGACGGACTGGGGTGTAGGTCAGCGGAGCAGGGGGTGAGAGGACTCACCAGAGACAGAGCGGGGAACAGAACAGGATTCACTGAAATACACTGCTGAAGGGAGCAGCGGGCCAGACAGGAGAGCTCTGCTGTGCCATGTGGGTCAGCTCCCTGGCCCCCCATTTAGTCAGGTGCCAGAAGTTTCGTGCTTCTCATTGTGTATAATGGCAACTCCAGGTCCGTAGCCGGGAGCGGTGGACCCCAGCACTTGAGGGATAAACACAGATTCTTGCTAGTTCGCAACTTTAATGGGCAAAGTTAGTGGAGTAGAAGTGGGGATAGAGGGGGTGCCACAGCACATCCCAGAACAGAGACCAGGTTCTGTGTTAACCAGATGGACAGAAGACAGACAAGTGTCCCAGGGAGTCAGCCGGTACCGCATCCCCCACCAAGCAGAAAGTCACTTTTGTGAAACAAGTGCTCACACCAAGTCTCAAAGCATAGGCTACAGGGCAGAAAGCTTACACTCTGCCCAGAATGTCGAGAACTGGTCTCCGTGTGGGCGGGGTCAGCTGGGGCACTTGCCAATAAAGTGGGTAGGAGATGCTCCCCTACAGGCGTCTGCTTCAGCCCCCCAGGGGCCTTCTTTCACTCCCATCATCTGTGCTATGTTCCTTCCTGCCACAGGGCCTTTGCACACACTGTTTCCCCTGATTGCAATGCTCTGCAATTTCTTCCCTGCCTGGTTAACTTCATTCATTCTCTAGGTCTCAGTTGAAGGAGCCTATTCACAGAAGCCTCTCCCTGGCCTCCTTGTCTGGAACAGATGGTCCTTGGGGCAGCTGGTCTCTCCTCTGTGACATCTGCACAGCTGGGTCTATGTGCTCTTGCCCATCATCCTACCTCTGAGACCAAAACACAATGCTTGGCCCATAGCTCAAGACTGACTCTTAAGAGACTTAGACTTGTTTTTTTTTTTAAGATTTATTTGTGCATACAGAACTGGGTTACAGGCCAGAGGCTCAGGGGCGGCGAGAGGCTTCACCAGAGACAGAGTGGGGAGCAGAACAGACAGATCGACGAAGTACACTGCTGAGGGGAGCAGCGGGCGGGCCAGGAGAGGTCCGCCACGCCATGTGGTCACCTCCGGGGCAGGCAGGAATCGAACGCATGTGGAAGCGGCTTTAGATTCTCAGTGCTGTGCTTTAACCCGCTGCGCCACCAGGGAGGGCCAACTTAGACTTGTTTTTGTAGTGGTTCTGATACTTTTATCGCCATGTAGCCAAAAACTCAATAAACCGTCTTAATCCAAAAGTCCTTTAGCAGAGTCAAAGTCAGGCAAGGAGAAGGCTTTTTATAACATTCTCACGCTCCCCTAAGATTTCGGAGGCAAACATTCAAAAGGCATTTTTAAAGGAATTAAAAAAAATATTGGAAATCCATGGACAACTAACGGTGTTCTGAAAGGAAGGATTTCCTAGTCCCAGGGCATACCCATACCTACAGCTGCTGTCATTTTGTTCCTTCCTTCCCTCCCTACCCCTCTCGACAACAAAAAATAATCTTGGTTTTGTAACAACAGCCAAGTGTTCAGTACTTCTTTCCAATTATGACAAGGACAGGCACCGATAATGATCTGGGGCTTTGTCGACTTTTGCAGCTAAACACTACATACTTATGGAAATGTTTTCCAGACACACCCACACATGCAAGAGTGTGAATTCTGCTTTCTCAGCCCTTACATTAATTTCGAGGGCAGCCTGTCCTTCCCTCCTCCTTGTAGCCATCTGCACCCTCTAGGGTGCAGAGAGAGGGCAGGTAAGTGTCACAGGGTGGCAGCCTCACTCCAATCCCCACCAGCAGAAAGTCCCTTTTCTAAACCTTCTTGATGTCCCTTCAAGAGAGCCGCCTATCTCCCCTCCCTTCAGATCTGGGCTGTGATTCACTCCGGCCGAGAGTGCAGCAGAAGCGACACGGGGCCAGCTCCATAGCCAGGCCTCGGGGGTCTGGTTCAATTCCACTCTCCCTGACCCCTGCTCAGGCTCAGCTTTGGCTGCTAAGGGCCCGAAGCCATGTGAACCAGGAACTCCAGTCACCCTCCTCATCCTGGTCGAGTGGCAGCCAACCCCTCACACAGACCTGCTTGCTGACAGGCAGCAGATTCAGACACATGAGTCACCCGGCTGAGACCAGCTGAGCTCAGCTATTAGTTACCCACAGCACTACTTCTTCCCTTCCTTGCCTCATGGCAGAACCTGCCTCTTATAAAGGGCTGACATGACCAGTTACGACAGCTCTCCCAGACTCCCTTGCGGTCAGGCATGGGCATGTGACCTCGGACGGCCAATGAGATGCAAGGAAAAGTCCACTGGGGACTTCAGGATGAAAAATGAGACCCAGGAGAAGCAAGTGCTTGCCCTTCATGCCCTTCACCCCTGCTTGGGGTGCTGCTGAGGGGTGAGGTGCTTGGCACTGCTGCAGTCATTCAACCATAAAGGGATGCCTCAGCCAAGCAGCGGATGGCACTGCAGGTGGAATGGGCTGGGGCCCATGTTGAGCTGCAGAACCAACTCTGAGACCAGACTTCTTGTTACTGGACAAAAAAACACCACCACCACCACCACCACCACCACCACTCCGCTTTATGTTAGGTGTTTGTGACCTGCAGGTGGAGACGACATTAGCATCACATCATGGGGGACCCACAGGCCCTGCCCAAGACTGTGTGATATGTAGGGAAGCTGACTGGGGTAGGCGAGAGGGTCTTCGTGGCTGATTTCAATGTCAAGGGGAATCAAAGAGATAACACCCCTGGACGGGGGCTGCTCGGGCTCATTACGATGGCTTGTGCTGGAAATTGGTCAGCTTCTAACCCACACTCCCTAGCTTCAGATTGTCAGTGAAACTGATGGCTGAGCAATTCGAAAAACAAACTAGAGGACCATTCTGCTGATTCTTTGACACAGTGTGGCGGCCACAGTGCTTTTAGGCACAGAATAGAGGGAAGGGAAACAGAAGGAGTTCTCGGAGGGTAAAGGCATTGACACTCCCTTTCCCGATCACCCCTTGGTACTCGGGCAGAATGAAGAGCTGTGCACGCCGGGAAGGAGGTGGGCAGGGCATTCTCGCCATGTGACCAGGGGAGTCAGAAGTAGCACAAGCGCCAGCAGCCCTGCCCTATCCCGGTGAGCAGGGCGAGGTGGGCGTGCGTGGGAGGCCTGGGGGAGGGCTCCCTGCCCCTGGTGGGGGGCAGCCCCTACCTTCCAGCACTGGTGTTTGGTATAGTATTCCCCCTGCGCAATCCACTCCTCCGGGGTCGAGGTCTTCACAAACATGCTGTCGTCCAAGTCTAAGAGGGAAGAGAAAGGTGGGTTTGTTCCCCTGGACACTCACTGGCTGCTGTTGTGGGTTAAATTTTGTTCTCATCCTCCACCCCACAAAAATGTCTGTGTTGAAGCCCTGACCACAGTGACTCCAGACAGGACTGCCTTAGGAGACAAGGCCTTCCAAGAGGTGATGAAGATCGTAAGGCAGCGAGGCGCCCCCCTCGTCCTAGCTGACCCATGTCTTATGAGAATAAGTGACTAACACACAGGGCACCAAGGGCTCGCACAGAGGACAGGCCTCCCGCAAGCCAGGGAGAGACAGGGCCACACCTGCTGATCTGGAACTTCCATCCTCAGAACTGCAAGACAGAAAGTTTCTGTGGTGTAAGCCCCCTGCTGTGGTGTTTTATTATGGCAACCCAAGCAAACAAATAACCTGTGTTGTCTTTCCATCATACACTTCAGATGTCATTTAGCTAATCAAGCCAGTTGTTGTGGGTTTTAGAAGGAGAAGATAGGGTAAGAAAGAATATTGTTTGGTTTCTGAACTTTGGTCTATCTTCCTTGTCTGTGGCTATGAACTAGAAGACAGTGATTTCTAACTCCTCCTTGAAAATCCAGAACGATGTAGCTTTTAGCAAACTCTCAGGCTTGGGCTTCAGCAAGCGATGAGCTGACAGACTCCACAGCACTTCCCAGCGTGCAGACTGCCCTGGTTGCAATCAGCAACACAACCCGCTCCTGCCAGAGCAGGCTTTCAGGCTTTCCCAACCACCCACTGTCGGTCCTGTTTGTTTTCCTCTCTAGTCTGCTGATGACTGGATCAGTCTTCCCCTACTGAGGGCCCCACGCTTCACCACCTACATGGGCAGACCCACAGCTACATGAAGCACAGGATGGACAGTGAATAACAGAACACTACAGACAGCCAGATCATAGCTGACGGGGGTCAGAGATAGCCAGGCCAAGAGATATCAACTGACGGAGCAAGGCCGACCTGCCCTCCTGGTTTGGAAGGCGCAAAGTGGGCAAACTGACCCCTCTTGGCCCAGCCGGGAGCATGGCGTGCAAAGAGGACTTCACAGTTTTGTTCTGACAACCGTACATCCTCGCATCCTGGGGACGTTCTGTTCCCACAGCATCTCTGCGTAGGGCGAATGCATTCTGCCGGCACTGTGTAGAGGTGCAAACTGTTCAGTCACTACACTCACCCCAGCTCCCGTGCACGCTGGGAACAGATGTCCTTTATCTTTACCATGTGCAGCTTAAAACACAATCGAGACTGGATTTTCCCCTTGCATTTGCAATGCAATCAAGACAGAAAATAAATAATAATCTTTTTTCATTTAGTTTAGAATTTTTTGAATCTGCCTATCTTGATGATTTTTTTTTTTTTTACTTTTATTTTATGCATACAAGAGCTGGGATATAGGCAGGAGGTAGAGTCAGGGTGGGGAACAGAAACCAGGCCAAATGCCTGAAAAACACTGCTGAGGGGAGCCGTGGGCCAGACAGGAGAGGTCTGCTGCACCATATGTGTCACCTCTCTGGCCCAGGATCGAACTCATGCTGCAGTGACTGCAGATAGCTTCATAGTGCTAAGATTTAACCCCTGCGCCACCAGGGAGGCCCTATATTTTTCTAATGGGTGCCAGAATATGTTCTGAGAACAAAGGAATGTGAGCTGCAGGGAAGATAAAGAATGACCATGCAAGGCCAACCCACTCATTTTCCTTCTAGCTGAGGCAGTGAAGGCCCACAGAGAGAAGGTGGGACCTGAACACGTGGCCCACAAGAGGAGAGTTTAATGGGAAGCTAAGGTAACTCCAAGCTTTCAATTTTCCCCGTTACCTGACAATAGTCAGGATCAAGGAACAGAACAACCAATCCATGTCCCCAACTGAGCCATTGTCTGCACTCAGAAATAGCTTCCATAAAACTGGCTGGAAAGTGCTCGAGACACAAGTAGCCCTCCCTGCTGCAGCCCTGTGCCTTCCCTATCCCGGAGAAATCAGCCGTGGCGGGGAGAGACAATGCAACAGCTAACCCACAGGAGAGACAGTTTTCTTTCTTTTTTTTTTTAGGAGAGACAGTTTTCTACTACACTTTTCTCCTTCACGGAGGACTGATTATTTCTCTCCTAGTTATCCTATCAGGAGAACCTCACTGTTTTTTAATTAGCTCATCTCTGTGCATGATGAAAACAATACATGATAATGGTCTGCCAGCAGCCCAGAGGGATACGAAGGCGAAAAGTAAAAGTTGCACCTAGCTATTCTGCAACCCCCCACATCCATCTCTCTTAACACCAGTAGAGCTCAGACAGTTTTACAGTGATGGACACCGAGCTCATTTTCAGTTTCTCCCCATAATACAAACAGGGTTGTGACGAACACTCATAAATACAAGCACAAAATACAATTTTATACAAGCACATGTCAGATTTCTAGAAGATAAATTACTGAGTCAAAGATATGGGCATTCTCGATCTGGTAGCCAGCATCCAGCAGCGGTCCAATGCTTGTAGCAAGGTATGTTCTTCTGAGGAGACCTATTTCCACTAACCCTTGCCCAGGACCCTGACTTTCCGAGGATGAATAAAAGATCTTCCTGGATTAGAAGGCATGACCCCTCCCAACTGCATTACAACCATATTTTCCTACACACCTTCACCCTAAATACAAATGCTCATTTGCAACTTGCACAACAACTATACTTTTCATGCCTGACCATCAGAGCAGTGGAGGTAACATACTTGCCACGTTCCACATACATTCTCACCAGTGAGACTATTGGGGTGAGCTCTTACCTTTATTTTCATCTGTCTTCACGACCTGAACAAAATCTCTTCGAGTGAAATATTTAAAAGCTGGCGCCCGCTTCTCCCGGTTTTCGTCAAAGATCCAGAGGTTGACCCGAGCCCGTGTGATGGCTGTGTACAGCTGTTTCAGCTCCCCGTTGAGAAGCTGAAGACAAGATTGGGGACACAGAAGATGAGCCTTTGGTCTACAGCATGATATGCTTCCCTGAGTTTACTCTGATTTTGGAGAATATAGTAAGTAGATTTTACAGGAGGTTTGCAGATGCCTGCGCAGGCCCTCGGGGCTCTCTGTGGCACACAGCAGGTGAGCAGGGCTCTGGTGGGAGATCACGGCACTAGCACAGGCTGGACCTTGGCACTGCTATAATTTGCTATTTTGAGATAATTACAGAAAGTGATGGAAAATTACCTTGTACATTTCTGGATTCACCACGACAGACCGGCCCTGAGAGGAGCTGGGTTTCTCCAGAGGCACTTGGATCAATGGCTGGTTTCCCTCTCTGGAGTCAGATGATGAAGGGGTAAAGGAAGAAATGATCTTCCACTCCTTGTAAGCCTGAACGACAAGAACAAATTAAAGGCCAGCAGAAGAAACTTTTGACCTGTACACACAGCCTCCAGGGTCTTCATGGAGAGCTGAGGCCCCCTTCATCCCCAGCTCTGAGGGGGCCATCCTGTGACTTCAAGGTAGGGGGTTCAGGGGCTTCCCTAGTGGCACAAGGAATCAAGTCTCAGCACTACGAAGCTATCTGCAGCATGAGTTCAATCCCTGGCTAGTAAGATAACCTACTTGGCACGCAGACCTCTCCTCTCTTGCCCGCTGCTCCCCTCAGCAGTATATTTCTGTCGATCTGCCTGTTCTGCTTCCCTCTCTGTGTCTAGTGAATCCTCTTACCCCCTGCTCCTCTGGCCTGCACCCCAGCTCTTGTCTGCATAAATAAATGAGTATTTTTTTAAAGATGTATTTATTCATACAGAACTGGGGTACAGGCCA